CTTTTCAGTGCTAATTCTTCACTGTGCGTCTTTAGTAAAAACTGATAGTACTATTTTACCACCAAAAGACGGTTTGCGCTGGCGCCAGCTGTTAGTAAAACTGGCCCTTAAAGGGTTAATTCACCCAAAACTGAAACTTTTTTTTATCACTTATGTTATTCCACATCTCCATGAGTTTTTTTTTTTGCTGTACACAAAAAATTTTTTTTTATCATATTTTCTGCTGTACACAAAATATATTTTACTTTCATAGTATGAATAAATACACATTCTTCAAAATCTACTTTTGTGTTCAACAGAACACAGAAACTCATACCGGTTTGGAACAACTTGAGGGTGAGTAAATGATGACAAAAGTTTCATTTTTGGGTGAACTATCCCTATGAGAAAAATCACACAAACAAGAGCACTGTGAAGGTGTCTTTAAATAGCTGAGTTAAGGCTGCTTGTGCCTGCTCAAAATTCTCTGTATAGCAATGCAGCATTAAACAGTATGTAAAAACACATAAAAGCTACTTTCAGAAGTGCATCTGTGCCATTTTGTAATGTGAATTTTGCATTAGACTCTAGATCAGGTATGAGACCACAGATAACCACAGCCTGCTGATATAGAGTCTAACAGCATGATTACGAGTGTGATATATAGTTTTTACAAAACTTAAATTTCATTCTATGTGTCACTGACACACTGTCATTACCACCCACTATTATAACAATGTAACATGCAGAAGGAGTTCAAAAATCCCCACACCTGTCTATAATGATACAAACACCACTTTTGTTACACTCGGCTAATCAAATGGATGTATAACAGACATTAATCCATTATTACAACAGTAAGAAGCCAAACAAAAGACTGCTACCATGGCTTAAAAAGTGTGGATTTTTTCCCGTATTTTCCCCATTCTTGTTCGGTGATTAATCCATTGTTCTTTCTATTTAAGATGGTCTTTGGAGATTGCATTAAAGTTGCATTAAAACCCTGACGTCCTCCTTCGTTGCCATACAAAGTGGGTAAGTGCATCATTTACGACAATACATTTTTGGGTAATATTTGATCCAATGTATGTATGCATATTAGCCATTTTAAATTTCTGTTTAAAGGTTGGAACAAATTTCATTCTGTATTTGGAGGAGGAGGAGGAGCAACAAAGGCGATACCCTCATGTCCTGCAGTTTTGGGATAAAATCCATCCTTCATTATTGTGGGAGAAATGGCACTGAAGCAAGACCGTCTTTTTACAAGCAGTTGATACATGGTTTAGATTATTTTACATTTTGAACATTGCATATCCCAAGCCTGTTTCAGCTGTAATTACATTGTCTGTACTATCTTTGTTCTGTTTGTTTGTTTGTTTATTTGTGAATTTATATTTATCTTGTAAACTGAAACAATTGCAAATAACCTAATGTGATAAGAAAGTGATTAATAAGACAATTTCAACCAATTATTTAATTTAATAGAAATTTTTGCAACTTTAAATGTAATAGAAATAAAGTGTTTTCAAAATATTTCTATGCTGTATATTATTATTTACATAGCAATACTAATACTAATAATACTTCTACTACTAATAATAATAATACCCAAATGGTTAAAGCAACATTTTGGCCAAATAACCCAACAAATTAGTTATTTTATAACCCAATGCATTGGGTTACTAACTTACTACCCAATCCATTGGGTTAAAATAACCCAACATTAGGTAGGTGCTATAGTAACCTACCATTGGGTTATATGTTGGGTCATTTTTAACCCAACTATTTAAAGTGAGTAGTTATTTAGGTCATTAGTTAAATAAACCTAAGGGTACAGCACCCAGGTTCACATCGATAAGCCACTAGTTAATTAATCTGGGCTCCATTAGCCCGGAAACACCTTTAACTCAGGTCACTAGTTTAAGCTATCTGGTCAACCGATCAGGTACACACAGCAATAGTTCACTAGCGTTAAGCCATTCAGCAAAGCCGGCCCAGGCTCACATAGATAGCAAACACACGGTCTCACGGCTCTCTAGAGCAGCAGCAGTACATATGTCTTGGCAATAGATCTGCTTGTTCTGGG